GAGGTTGGAAATAAATAGCGAATAAAAATTTATATATGAGAATGATTATTTTTGATTTATGTATAACGGATCGCGAAATGGTCTGGGGCGATTTACCTTCGGATGTTATGTGGCGGGACTGCTCTAGTGCTCCAAAGTCAGAACAGATGACAAGGGGTAGAATAGCTTTCTGCGAGCATCCATTTTCAGAAGTTTTAAGAGGCTCCTAAACTCTACAAAGGGAAGCTCCCTCTGTCTTGAATCAACGGATGAATCATGATTGCCGCTAGCTGTTAATCGTATGTCTATCAAATTCCAAATTTGGGTAGGCGTGTAAGCCGGTAACAGGGTGACTGATGTAGACTCAAGAAATTTGAACACAATCCTGTTTGTGGTAGGACTGTTAATCCACAACCCGCGGAATCCAGTAAAGATACATTTTCCCTTGGGAGTTGCGGCCTATCGGTGGCCCAACAACCGTTGTCACCTGAATCCTCAGCTCCCACCCTCGCAAAGTCCATTCGTTCTCAGGAGTAATTCTGCTATGTAAATACGTACCAATTTAAATAAATATGCTTCAGGTAGGTGCAACTTGAAGCACAAGATTGAACCCAATGCTGGAATCGTGTAGTCATAGGCAGTGATGCTTCTCCGGTTGCGTATGCTTCGACATATTGGAGGTTTCTACCCATGAACCGAGAGGGGACAAAGATAAGCGACTCAAGTCAACATTTCACTTCCCATACGGGTACATATGTATCTGGAACGGACGGTGATAGAGCTGAAAGACTTGGAAACCCTCAAAAACCCGGCAAATACAGGGTGTTCATGAAATAGAGCGATCCTGCTGGCACCATCCCGTTGAACGGGCGGAGGGGTTTGAGTTTGATCAACTTGTGTTCTGCTGATTTTTACTCTAGCGGGGTTCACAACTTCACACCCAATGAGTCAGCATATACCTTCCTTGAAGGACCTCTCCGAGCGACATGGGAGAGGTCCTTCAAGGATGGTGTACACCCATTTCACGACATCTCGAACTACATAATCTGCCCAACTCATAATTTTTTTTACAATGGTGTTGGTAGAGGCCTTAAAATTGACTCTAAAAAATTTTAGAAATTTCAATCATGAACCATTACTTTAATGCCCTGCATTTGGCCTGAGGCTGGCCATCCATTTGGCAAAACCCCTTTATCACACTCCACTTCTCTGATTCACTTGTCAACTCTGGCAGCTTATATGACCAATTATGGGACCCAACCTAGTAGTATACTCAGAAATGAGCTTGGGCATGTTGAAATAAATAAAACACGTGACTGGAATGAAATTTGGCTTATAACCTGTTCACCAATTTCTTTGGGCGGGCAGACCACAATAAATATGAGCAATTACCGAGGTTTCAAGCTGTCCCACCAATACCTTGTTCATTTGTTGATGCACCACTTTTTGTTAAGTTTAACCAAGGCATTTTGCTTCTAAAGGGCAGTTTCCCACCATTCTTTGATGCTGTAAACTAAGCACATGGCCTAAATTCAGATGTATGAATCCCTTGCCTGCAGGCTCTCAGTTTTCAGTCCTTATTTATCCTTTGTAACACTCAACAAATCACTTTCCTTGATAATATTAAAAACATGTTCATTTTATATACACTGACAGACTCAATCAATTAATTAGCTTCTCTCTCTCTGTTTTATTTTTTCTGGATAAGGAATTTTATATGTATATATGCTGGAGGGAGATTGTTTGATGACAGAGAGAAAGGGACTAGAAGGGAGAGAGAAAAAAGATGCGCGTGTGTGTTTTTTTTGGGGGGGGGGGGGGAGGAATTGATGGCAACAAACAAAACGATAATTAAAGAAAAAAAGAGAAAGATTCCATGATTTGATTTGAGGTTGTTTAAAAGAAAAGACAAGGACAGGGAGGGGGGGGGGGCGATGAATCAAGCCTGAAATGATTCTTGAAAGCGAATCAACTTATCGCGATTGACGACGGAGACGAAGAAGTCGCCAGGGTTATCAGTCCAACTGACAGAATTAGAAGGATAGCTGAAGACGCCAGGACTGTTAGCGACGAGGGTGGAGGGCGGAGTAGGCCGGAGGGCGGGTCGGGAGAGGATGGCCAACGGGGAATCCAGGTTGCGTTGGTTGAGCTTGAAGGAGCTCGAGATGAACGGCTTCAGCGAGACGATCTGGGCCGTGTCTTTCAGCTCCAGGAACAGCAAACTTAACGATTCGTTCAGACTCGGGGTGAAGACTTGGTTGTTCACTAGTACGACATCCGCCCTGTTGTTCCGGGAAAGAAATCGTACATATCAATCAGCGATCTGACTGTGAAAATAAAAGGTTTAGAAAAAAAAAGATGAGGCTTAACTGTTGTAGCCATTGGCCCACTCGGGGATCCTTAGTGAAGTCAGCCTGGAAGAGAAGAGGGGCGCCGAGGTTAACGCCCCACAGGGAGTGAGCGCGACCGACGAGTTCGGAGCGTTGAAGGTTAGCGAGTTTAGCGCAGCCGTCCATGATTTCGAAGCCGACGGCGACGCAGCCGACCTCGAGGGCGACCTGGAGGACGATGTTACCGATTCCGGAGCCGAGGTCGAGGAAGACCATGCCGGGTCTTAGGCCGACAAGCCGGATGATCTCCGAGACGAACCGGGGCTTGAGCTCGCCATACACATTACTGCTCCAGGTCTCGTACCCCTGTAAGAGCTCCAGTTGGGGCCCCACCTGGCGGTCATACGCTTGGCCCAAAATCGTCTCCCAGACCCCCTGCGGCATCCCCACAAACGAGCCGATCTGTCGGCCGATCTCTTTCCCTTCGACCAGATACTTGATCACCCGATTGTACCAGCCAACCAGTCCCAGAAACTCCGGCCCGTTCTTCCGTCGGATCGTCTTCACAAGCTCTTTCAAGAGCGGCTTCGAGCTCAGATCTAACGAAGCGTCCGAGAGCGGGATCTTGGGCGTCGTCGATCGTCCGGGCTCCGGCGAGGACCGCTCCTGCGAACGTCGGTTCAGGAAGCTGAAGTCGTTCAGTTGGCTGTGTGGGACGGATGCGGAGGGGGAAGTGATAGGATGTGGTTCGGAGAAGAAATGCAGGGACTGGTCGGGTGTGAGGTAGTAGGTAAGTGTGGTAGTAATGACCTACATAAACGAAAAATATCATCAACAACAACAACAACAAAAAAGGTAATGAGGATGTAGAAAGGGGGAACCAAGAATACGTTTAGAAGGTCATCCAAAGGACGATATTCATCCAGATCGTTTTTGGGTACTAGTAAGCGGAAGAGTTCGTGTGCGCCGGTAGGATAGCCGACTCTGATCTTGGGGTCCTGGTTTTTCTTGAACGGCCAGCGCTGCGGGTCCTGGTTAGTGAACCAGGGCTTGAATTGGTTCCTGTTGGCGTTGACCAGCTTGGCCGAGCTGGTGAGTTTGCGCTCGGCTGGCTCGACATTCAGGGGATGGTTGGATGAGTACGCTGTGATGGTCTTGTCGACGGAGCGTGGGATGATCGGATGGAGTTGGTAGTCCTGGTGGTTTGTTGTTGGGTTCTTGTTTGTCTGGTTCTGATCATCTTGAGGTTGTTTATCCTGAGTGTTGAAGTTGTTCTGAGTGGTGTTGTTATTCTGATTCTTCTTGATATCCTGTGTTTTGTTGATGTCCTGAGTCTGGTTGATATCCTGGGTCGTGTTATTGTTGTTGATCTCCTGGGTCTTGTGATGATTGTCCTCTGTCTGGTTCACTAAGGGTTTCGTTTCCCGAGTCTTGCTGAGTTGATCGGATTGCTGAGTGTTGTTGAGTTGTGGTTTACTGTGAATGCTCTTCTTAGTGGTTGTTGTTGTTTGGTTTGTGCCAGTGGCTGTCTGTTGTTGGTGGTTGAGTTTGATTCTTTTTGGGAGTGGTTGTTGGTTTGATTGTAGTGTTTTGATTCTGATCTGTTGCTGTTGCTGTTGCTGTTGTGTTGTCGTTTGCTTTTGTTGTTGTTGTTGTTTGAGTAGTCTTGGGTCTTTGAAGAAGCAGTCCATTCTTCTTGGGTGGTTGTGAGTGTGTTTTTGGTCAACTGGCACTTCAAAAGGGGGAAGATCCATGCAACCACCAACCACCCCACGGGCTCAATCGGGAGGCTGCAGCATCCACACCCCCCGACCATGCCTACTCTGATACTAGCTTAGTACAATCCCCTCGTTTCAGGGGCCGGGGGACCGGCGCGCCGGGGGCGCCTCGCGAAGCGAGTCTGGTTGCCAGATCTGGGCTTTTAACAAGCTCCAAACCGTCTGATTATCTGTGCGGGATGATCTATCATCTGCTTGATACCCGCAGTCTTCGCTCTTACACCTAAACCAGTCACCCATGAGTGACCGAGTGTTTTGAGAATGTCCGAATGTTTGGAGTAGTGTTGCACTAATCCAATGAATGACTCTTCCCTTCTAGTATTGGCCAGTTGCAGATGTTTCAGTCTTACGACAGTGATCCGTGGATGACCGGGACTCTAGCTTCATGCAACTTCAAGACAGCCGAGCCAACCGGATGTTTTAACTGGTCGTTTCAGTGTACACCCGTCATCCATGGATGCGGACTGGCTGAGTCTATCACCCGTCATCCGTGAATGACCGATCATAATATATAGTGTTACACCGGAAAAACCAAGGTGCGGTCATCAATTGATGACCGAATCCCTTGGTTTTCACAACTAGGGAGTCCGGGATGACCGGACTGCACATCTGACGGCTGTTTGGGGGCCTATAACCGTTAGATTGGACTATAACCGTGATGTTTTGAGTATTTTGTGATTGTTCTTGTACAGCGGCTCCTGCATGAATACAGACATAGTGGCACAGCCACTACATATGTCTATGTGATAAGCATTTGACGATGGAGAAACCAAAAATGAGAAAATGGTGTCATTAAAACACCAATAGCGTCAGCAAGGTTGATGGTGGGGGGGGGGGTCGTTTGACTAGTAGATGCGCAAGACGCTGGCGGTTCTCCTGATGCAAAAGGCAACAGATATTTTCGGGAGGAACTATGCCAGACAAGGGAGGCAAATCTTTCCCACCAAAAAGTGAGAACCACTCGACCCAAAGGCCACACATGGCGCCCAAGCCCCTCCTTCGGAGGCTCGCTTCGCGAGGGGCGCTTCGCGCCAGCCAGGCATTACTTGGCCCGACGAATTAGGGGGTTGTTGTTAAGCTAGACTCTGTGATAGACCTTTCGGAGACACCCGCCCGGCATACTTGCTGTTGACCGGATCTAGTTGAACCACACTGACACCCCCTTTTCAAGTCACCCAGATCGCCGCTGTCCTCATCGCCCTGCTGGCATAGTGGAAAGCTCTGATCAGTCCACTCCAACAGCTCACTGCGTGTAACCCTCATACACTTCAAGCTCCAAAGATCGAATCGCATTGCAAGCAACCGACCACCCCACTGATCATCCTGTCTCATAACAAGCTCGCCCAGCTGGGGCTCGTGTGGGCCCTGATCTTCCTCGGCCATCGATTAGTTCTCATGGGTTCAGGAATGCAACAAGGGAATCCTGGAAGAACGTGTAATCACTGTGTTGCCCGTCATAAGCGCTTGGGGCTTGTGGTACCCAGCTGGCAGGAGAGCTCCCAGCACCCAGTAGATCCGCAGAGGCATGACACCCTCCTGTGTGCAATCTTCCAAATCAAGCAGCCCTGCCATCGCTCAATTCCGGTCCAGCTACATTTCTGCGATCGCTGTGATATGTATGCCTGGGTGCCCACTGAGCATTGCCAGGATCACCCTCAACTTCAACCAGGCCCAGTCTACAGTAATTCAGATAATATCGACCCCCTCAGGCAGAGGGTTGCAGCAGTAGCGTCACTTGACACGACTTTGCAATTGGGGCATTGAAACTTGAAATTGGAGCCCTATATACCCCCCCATCCCCCGTGGGAATCAACTTTTTTCTCAAGTCCTCCGTGTAAGAGGTGAATCTCTTCACTGATCTTACGTTGATGGGCAAGTGACTGAAGGCTAAAAAGCCGGACGTTCTAGAACCAAAGGCGGGTTTTTTTATTTCAGCTAGACGGTCGAGAGGGGAACTCTCAATCAGTACAATCTTTCTGAGGAACAAGAAAAGAGAAGACAAAAATGAAGAAGAATCCTAAAACCAGAAGTACTCACCTAGACGGTCGAGAGGGGAACTCTGCCGTCTAAGACCATCTCCACCGTGGCTGCTAAACCAATTTTAGCAGCGCAAACTCGATTTAGCAGCTCCACCGGGGCTGCTAAACACTCAAAATTTTTAGCAACCCGCCTCTCGGCTGCTATCCCAATACCAAATATAGAATCAGGATAGCAGCTCAACCTCGCAAGTATCACAAAGAATCCTTGTGATTCTCGCATCCACCCCCTCCCCCACATCCCCCCGACACTTCTCAAAGACCGGTACCGGTCACTAGAAAATGTACACTCTCAGAGACCGGTATCGGTCAAGAGAGAATGTACACTCTCCAAGACCGGAACAGTATCAGTCACTAGAGTGTGTACACTCTCAAAGACTGATACCGGTGAAAAACAAAGGTCTCCTCTCAAGTACCGGTATCAGTCACAACTCATATGAGAGCCTATACTCTCTTGAAGACCGATACCGGTCACTGGTCACTAAAGAAGTGACTGGTACCAGTCGATGGAGAGTGTACATCTCTTGGGATGGTACCAGTCACCGGATAGTAAACACTCTCCATGGTCGGTACCGGTCACTAGAGAAATAGGACCCCAATACCGGCCAATATTGGGTGCAGTCTTTGCTGCCCCGGGGGGGGGACCTTTCACATTCCCCAGTTGCTATTATAGCAACTTGCGGTGTAACACCAACTGGACGCAAGCTGCTAAAAGCGCGCCGCAGTTGCCGAACTTTGAGATTTGGCATCTCGGATAGCAATTTGCGGTGGAGATAGTCTAAGTGAAAGGGACAGGGCTAGACTATGTACACTCAGTAGCTTATGTAATCTGGCCCTCTTGGCCTTGTGAAACCCTTGGAACAAGGGGGGTTTCACAGTCTCCCCTCCTATAAAAGAATTGAAGACCAGGCAATTTTGAAGTTGAATGAGAGGAATAAAATTTGGATTCAATCTACCCTTACCAAAAAAACAGTGGTGTTGAACTAGGGAGTGAGTGGAGAGGGGGAATTGAGTCAGAGAAGTGAAATGAGAAGGACTTGAGAGGAGGAGGAGGAAGACACTTGTAGTGGTGCTCCCAAGATGATTGGGTTTTCTCTTGACTTCTGACAATTTATAACCCCGGTGCGTATGGGGTCATGTTTCCCAGAAGGTCTCACTGTTCTTGGTGCAGGGAAAACTGGATTGGGGGTTGGCGGTCTCATTACTCGATGATTAAAATAGCGGGGGAAGGTTTGCCACGTGGTTGGCCTCATCATCCAAGATCTTTTTGGACCCGTCGTGTCTTAATGTTGCTAGGTGTTTGTCAAGGTCTTCAAGAGCCGCTACCCCTGCTTGATCCATTTCAGGGAAAAAGTTGTCCTCAGATATGTTGACTGCCACCTTTTCAGGTTGTTTCTCATGTGTCCTGGCTAAATTCTTTTTGGTTTTGGCCAGTTCCAGTTCATTGTCCATCAGTTGAATCGCTGATACTGCTGCTTCGTCAAGCACGGCATACATCTCGTCTTCCGCTCAAGCTGCAACTGCTGCCACCTTAGCAGAAGGGTGACCCGCCGCTGGATGAGTGGGCTTACCGGCTGGAGATTGGGAACCATTTTGAGGGTTTGGGCGTTTGTAGTCTAGGGGTTGCTGTAATTTTACAAACTATATTTTACAAGACATATGTCTTGTAAATCAGATGGTTTGTAAAATTACATTTTTATGGGGGTAATGTATAATTTTACAAACCATCACCCAAAAATATGGGTTGCAACATATGTGCCTTAAAATTGCAACCCATGCCCCATGAAGTAGAATTTTAAGGCACATATGTTGCAACCCTTATGTCTTGCAAACAATATGGTTTGCAAAAGTACATTTTTGCCTCATTTCAAGGAATTTTGCAACCATTAGTTTGCAACCCATCTATGTGTTGTAAATTATGGTTTGTAAAATTGCACAACAAGGTATGTAAAATTGAATTTTACAAACCATATTTTGCAACCCTCCAAAAAAAAAAAAAAAAAAAAAGAGGGAGACAAAAATCAACACAGAAATAAAAAAAAAAAGCATCAAGGACTCAGCCTCAAAAAACAATAAAGGCATCAAAGAAAAAGAGAAATACATCCTCAACAAAAGATAAAAGGGGTAAAAAAGATAAAGACACAGCCTCAAACCAAACAAAAAGGAATGAACAAAAGAAGAAAAAAATGAAAAAAGCAGATCAAAAATAAAAAACGCAGAGCCTCAAACAGAATAAATGGAAAAGTGAAGTCAGTCCAGGAGAACAATCTTTCAATCTCATTTTTTCTTTCTCACTGATTGTCTTGAAGCCTGGGTTTTTCCTTTGGTACTTGGAGGTGATCGTTGCTCAGGTGGTCTCAGTATGACCTTGAACCGTATTGGAGGTTTCTGAGGGACTTCTTCATCCTCTTGACTGTGTTTCACCTGAATTTGAGTAACATGATCATCTGTTTCATCCGCTAGAGACTGATTACCAGTTTGATTGCCAAGAGACTGTTCACCAAGAGCAAAAGATTGATCACCACCGTCTTTGCCAGTATGATCACCAAGAGAAAAGGTTTGATCACCGCCGTCTTTGTTGCCATCTTCGCCACAAGATTGATCACCATGGGATTCAAGAGATTGATTGCCAAGCACAAAAGATTGATCACCATGAGATTCAACAAGAGATTGATTGCCAATCACAAAAGATTGATCACAAGATTCACCACGAGATTGATTGCCAAGCACAAAAGATTGATCACCATGAGATTTGTCGCCAACCGAGAGGAATGATTCGTCTATTTCCAGTGTGACTTCTGCATCCAAGGAACACTGTTGTTTGGTGTCTGGTTCTTTTTGGTCTAGTGCATACTTTCGAGCAATCTGTGCATTCATTTGAGAGGCGAGTTGTGCAATTGGAGTTGTTCCTTTGACTGGTGAAGTGTAATTTTTTGGAGCATTACCCGTAGTTGTTGAAGGCGATTTTTCTCTGGCCTGGGATGTGACAGTAGTTGGAGGAGTAGATTTAACTTCGTTTGTGGTGGTGTGGGGAATTAACGTCGAGCTGTGTGATGTGGTCAAAATTGACTTCATCTCCTTGAAAGGGACATCACCAGCAGCTTCTGGATTTTTGGCTACAATTTTCTGAATTGCGTTGTTGACATATTCTTCCTCTGAAGGTGTCCAATCGCGCAAATAAAGGAGCCAGCTTGTGTTTTCTTCCACTCCGGCAATCGAAATGGGAACCCGATTGATCTGTTGAGCATGACCATCATTCTTGGCGTCGTTGTGTAACCAAATTGCGGTCAAACTACCCTTGTCAGCTGAGATGTTAGCACTTTGAAGGACCTTACACCAGTAGTGATTATGTTGCCAGTAGCCTCGGGAGATCAGAGTGTATGTGGCGCCTCCAAAGTTAATCTTGAACGGCTAAAGATGGCCTTGCGGTACCCGCTGGGCGGTACCCGGGACCCGTTGGCGGGTACCGCCTTCACTCCTCCGGTACCCGCCAAGTGGTGCCGGGTGCGGTACTTGGTGCCTGCTTTTGAGCAAAAAAGCAGGCGGTACCCTGGTACCTTCAAGGGTACCCGCCCCCAAACCCCCTTCTCGGTGGCTTGACCAAGACTAACTGGTCTCGTCCAGGTTGCTGGAGAGGACCCCTCCTCGGCAACCTGATTAAGACCAATCAGGTCGCCGGTAAGGGCCCTCCTTGGCGACCTGATTGGTCTCAACCAGGTTGCCTGCAAGAAGCTCCGGTACGCCGGTACCCATCATACTTGAGCGGGTGCGGTACCCGGTGTCCGTTTTGGCCGAAAAAAGCAGTCGGTACCCAGGTATCAACGGGTACCCGGGTCCCATGGGGCCATCTTTATGAACAGCCAATTGATTGATCCCATAAAGTTATTTTTCTGTTTCTCGTCGGTTATGCCGGTGACATCTACATAGAAATTAAGATGAAGCGGGGCTCCATTTTCTGGGACAGACAATCTTGATCAATCAATTATGTGGTGTGATGTGTTTTCAGAGGATCCAAGCAGCTTGAAAATGTTGACATTGGAAGACAATTTTTGAATTTTGGCGTTCTTCGGGAGCTTCGGTTTTGG